GCCTTGTATAACTGTGGGCAGCAGTATTGTTGCACAGACAAATGGGAGTGGTGTTGATACCCCCAGTATTTGCCATCTTAAAGACAATTCCCATAACCACAGAATGAAAGGCAAACTCTTCCCCTGTGGATTTACTTGTTCATATCAAAAGCGCCCCAATTTAAATACTTGAATTAAAAGGCACATAATTGAGGCATAAATAACACTACGAAAGGCTTTCTATTTCATTTAGAGGGAAAGAGGTCCAGGGAACCTATGGATACATTGTTTATTTACATTAACTCCATTTTCTGCATAGTAAAATGACTTTGATATGTGGTTAATATGAAGTTCACACACGAAAATAAAAAGTATTTGACACTGGGGTCATGTATAGCCTCGTTGTACCCTATTTTTCTTGGTGGATCATTCCTTTATCTTTTATCATAATCTAAGGCTTCTTTGCGAATATTACCTCTCTTTCCCTCAAAAAATGGCTTGTGGTTATGCTCTATCTATTTTTTACTTTTTCTAGTAGGGTTTCTTTAAAATTGACTTTCACAGAGAATCCTTGTAGATTGTCTATGTGACTTAGCATGTGATGCCTGTATAGAACCTAACCCCCTTCCCTCCTCTATACAGAAATGTAATCCTAACATGGGGTGAAGAAACTCCCTAGTTATGTAGTGGGACTTATCCAAATAGCCCAAATCCAACCATAAAAAGGCCATATGTCCCAAGGGTTATCTCCTTTTATCCAATTATCAAGTAAATGGGATTTAGATTTTTGGACCAAAATACTCATTCTTGCATTTTGAACACAGTCCAAGAAAAGAAGATTGCTTTTGTTGCTTCTTGGTTGAGATTTGCTTAAGATTACAGAGGCTTTCATGCCATGTCACTGCATAAAATGTTACCATCAAGCATATGAATATTATTTTAGCATTTACATCAAGAAACAAAGCTTGTATATGACTAATATAAGGTTTGAGAGTTATAGCTATGGTCTTTGTGTTTTGTAGACACAACCATGAATTTGAGGCCAAAAACCATGTGTTTAGGACCTAAACCTTGCAATATATTTTTGTAATCCAAGTCTTCCATAGTTCCATGTACATTTTGATCCTGATCATAAAATTCGAAATCGGAGCATGTGAACTCTAAAATCGAAGAGTTTAGAGGTTTCGTAGGCCCCATGAGATTTCACAAGAACTTAATGAACTCAGGCTCCTGATGAATCTCTAAATCAGCCTTGGCAAAATTAGCTTAAATGGAATAGTTTCTTCACCATTTCTTGACTTAGAGTATTTTGATTAGTTTTATACTAATCCTATTGCACTCTAAACCATTCCGATAAGGCTGGGCCGGCTTTTGAGTATAGGCTAGTCAAGCTAGGCTTGAACCTAGGTCTTTTTAGCTTGTAGGGAACCACAACGATTTTGACCATGGTTGTGGGTTGTTAGTCCATCTTTTGAAGATGGTCTCAGTTAATTCAGTCATTATAACATCTATCTTGAGACATTGAGTTGTTCAAAATTGGGCCTTTGTTCACTCAAACCTTTCTTCTGGACTATTTAACCAAAGAGAATTTTTTTTTATATAAGGTGGAAACTTTATACCATTCAGGTAAAGTGCACCTCAAAAATCCACTAGAAGAGTTGGAAAACTATCTAATTGATCATCTTGACCACTAGATGTCTATATATGAACAAATAAAGAATTTTAATTCTTAAAAATAGTGCTTCTTATAATAAGTTATCGGAACCGTCTATTTTCAAGTATTTATAGATCTCCTCAGTTTATATCTTTTTAGAATTTTAAATTTCATAATTATGAATGAAAATATATTTTCAAGCCATCATAAGGTTTCGAACACTCGAACCACATCTCCAACCAAAATTTAGAGGTGGACCTTACCTCTGCAGTATAAGGACTTAGTTTTATGGGGATTTGGCCATGCTTTAGATGGCTAGAGGTAGTTCAAACTTTTGACACAGCTCTAAACCATTTGAAATTTGGCCATGCTTTAGATGGCTAGAGGTAGTTCAAACATTTGACACAGCTCTAAACCATTTGAATTTCGTTTCCACCGTAGTTCTTGAGTCTTAGATGTTATAAAACTCCCAAGCAAACAATATTATGTCACATTGCTTTGCTACAGTATTTGTCGCCACTATTTTTTTTTTGGGTGAATCAGTAGGGAGGGAACCCTACCTTTGATAAAAATTGAGCCTATGATATAGCATTGCAAATCATCAAGCGCTAACCAATTAAGCCTGGGCTCTTATCCTATTGTAAAATGCATCATCATAACTAGACCAGCAATTAAAAGAAAATTTGATTATGAGTTTTTAAAGGGCCAAGGGAATGGGGTTGGGGCATATGTGGTCAAGAGGGTGTATACCTTGACATAATGTCCCAACCTCCATTCCCACCATTAATGTGTCAGAAAATATAAAAGAGTTTTTAAAGGGCCAAATCCAGCCGCCTATGAAACGGACAGATACGCACATGGTTCAACAAAACCATTTCGGAGGCTCTTATATTTTTCTAAGTATGTAGTTTCCATAGAGCTTAGGCTTTATGAAAAACAAAGTAATGCCTCACCTCAGATCCTCATTCGAAAAGCCTTTTGGACATTGAAAATCTCCATGATGACTCTAAAATCAATTTCTAACAGCTATTATGAAATTTGAATCTAAAAAAATATTATAGATTTTGCGGATCCGTAGACACATATTTTTAAGGAAAAATAGACGGTCTAGATAATGTGTTACAATATACACTATCTTTAGGGCTTGAAATCCTAATATTTTTTTCAGAATCATTATGGTTAAGGCCAAGATGATTGATTTGAAGGTTTTCCGATATCAAAACTACAATTTTCAGTGACCTTTTAGATGAGACTTTACTTATTTCCTTTTTTTAATTGGTTTCTTTTTCGGATCGATGTGTGCCAAATTTAAAGCCAAGCAAATGCCCCTAGGGCCCTATTTGGGGGAGGGCAGACAAATTGTTTTGCACTGAGTAAGCCGGTTCATGGACCCAAATATCTATTACTAGTCATTATCACATTTATCAAAAGAAATTAACAGATGAAGTTGCATTTTATTTAAATAAATTCATAGAGCTCTAAATGAAGCTTTGAAATTAGGGTTGCGGCCATTGGCTATGGTCACAAGCTTTGGATTCTCCTCTTTCTTTAAAGATAAGTTCAAATTTGTTTGAACCCTCTTCTATTTTATGGAAAAGAATGCGAGGTGGGAAGAATGTGGACTGTGTCTTCTTAACAACTTTCAAATTGAAGGTAAAGTTGAAGTGGGTACACAATAATGAAAGCCTTTAAAAGTACGAAAATCACAGGGCGGGACTTGCCAAAGATACTCCAACTTCAAAATAACTTAGCCCAATAATGTGACAAAAGCAGTTGTATGAAACCCTAATTTTCTTTACTACTTCATAAATTACACATTATTATTGTTCTAGAGAGAGAAAGAGAGATGCTAGAGAGAGAGAGTAGGGAGACAAGGGCCCATTAGTAGGTGGCTTAGGTGTAAAGTGGTCAAAAGAAACCCAAAAAGCAGGTTTCAGGAAAAAGAGAAAAGAATAGGGAGAGGGAGTGGAAGGGTAACAATGCGGATAAATGAGTTACATCAAGAATAAGATTTTCAAAAAATATGACATGAGATAGTTTGCTTTTTTAAAACATTAGGCAAAGATTGTAAACAAAAAAGAAATAAAAAATTAAAAAAAGAAATAAAAAAGAAAAAAAGAAAAAAATGAATTTTTAAAATGAGTTTAACTTGCTCAAAAAAAGAAAAGGAAAAAAAAGACAGATTTTCTGGAAGGAAAAAGAAAAAATGTAAGAAGAACATTTGTGTTTGGAAAAGGTCACGATATCTTTGATTGGTTGATTTGAAATTCGGTGGCGTGCATCATAAGGGCTCAAAGTTTTAAAAAATATTTTGAAGTATAATAATGACATATAAAGTTGTCAGATTATTTTGTGACTACTTATACTAGTTTTATGGTCTACAATAGTTTTTAAAAACCTGAAGATAAATTTAAAAAATTTAGATACATGGATCTACTTATCTAAAAAAAACGATACATCGATCTAGGCTTTTGGCTATTTATTGATGCAAACATTGTTAGACATGCCTCCTGTTAGAAAGGTTGAGAGAGGGAAATGGGCGAGACACTGGGATCTAGGCTTTTATTGAAAATTTGGTGACAAAAATGTGAGTTAGCTAATCTAACTCACATCTTTGTGGTCAGGTCAACCTGACGTGTCGACTCAAACCAGATCGGGGTATGGCTCTAGGCATTGGACCCCATGGGTTGGCTCTTGGTCTAATATCTTGGACTTGAGTAGCATTCCGGTTGGTTCCTAGTCCTCGACATGACCCGGACCCTACCATGATATATTTGATGTGTGTCTTTATATATTCATTAAATGTTAGTTAGATATCTAATACGGCAAAACTTTAATTAAGATAATACAATATCTAAGACAAAAAAATAATTAATGAAAACTTTAACCTACTACTATTATCATATGGATTGGGTCAAGTCATTTGCGTCAACTGGATCCAAATTTGGGTAAGGTGGACCTCTCAAATCAATTCGAGTTACGCTCGGGTGGAGAGGCTGTGGACCAAGTCTGTCCAAGTCCATGTCCGGGTCCTATAGGTATACTTTCAGTTGGGTTAGTCCTAGTTGAGTAACAATTTGACTCTTTCGTCCTCTTTTGTTTTCTCTTTTTTCTAAACAATGTTTTAAAACTTGGACAGGTAGGATGGATTGTTTACCCACATATCCGAGTCGGATCACATCATTAGTAATTTGGATCAATCCAAATCAATGATCAAGAAAAATATTAAAATAAATAAAATATAATGATAATTAAAAAAAAAAAAGAGGCTAATGGAGTGGGGATTTAGAAGGACATAAGAAAAACATTACATAGGTCTAAAAACAAAAAGAAAAAAAATATACATACCAATGCTCTCTCTCTCTCTCTCCTCTCCATTCGCTTTGGTTTCTCTCTTCTTTGTCGGATACATAAAGCGATCCACGATCTTCGTTTGTGGGTCTCTTCCGAACATGGAGAGCATCATAGTGTGGGCTTTGCTCTTCTTGCTGATAAACCACGCCCTCCTCCTCCCATTCTCCACTGCTTGCTCCAATGGCGATTGTCAGGTATCTCTCTCCCTAAAAATCCACCTTTTTCATTTAATCACAAACCCACACTAGAAAAACTGGAGAATTGAACTTGATTTCAAAGTGGGTTTCTGTCAAAAATGTGTAGCTTCTTGATTCCTGCTCGGAAACCAGTGATTGTGGGTCGGGTCTCTACTGTGGTAACTGCCCCGCCATGAACAAGAACCAGCCAGTTTGTACCAGAGGTCAAGCAACACAAGTCACAAATATTGTATGATTCTCTCTCAAGCTTTGAGTTTCCAAGTTTTCAGGTGTTTTTTCCGCTTGGATCGTGGGTTTTTGGGTTGGAAGTGTGATGATTTGGGTTTTTTAACTCTTGTTGGTAGATAAATGGGCTGGCTTTTAACAAGTACACATGGCTGGTTACCCACAATGCCTTCTCCATTGTTGGGGAGCCATCTCTGACTGGAGCTCAAAGGGTTACCTTCTACAATCAAGAAGACTCTGTCACTAACCAATTGTTGGTATGCTCTCTCTCTCTCTCTCTCACACACACATTGTGAAGGACGTGAAAATGGGGATGAAAGATCATGTTGGTTTTAACAAATTGTTTTTGTTTCGAAAATTTAGAATGGTGTGAGGGGTTTGATGCTGGATATGTATGACTACAACAATGATATCTGGCTCTGCCATTCCTTCCAAGGCCAATGCTTCAACTTCACTGCCTTTGTAAGTCTCTTCAGAACTTCTCCAATTGATATTTTTTCTTTTCTAATCCCACATTCTGTTAATCTTCTTTCGCTCCTGCTCTTGATCGACTCAGATCTTGTGCTGTGTATACCTTACTTTCCTTTTCCTCTGTCCCCTTTTCTTTTTCTTTTTTTTTCTTTTCTTTTTTCGAGTAATCTTAGATGCTTTCTTTTTGTTAGGAACCTGCAATTAACACTTTGAGAGAAGTGGAAGCCTTCTTATCTAGCAACCCATCGGAGATTGTAACCATAATTATTGAGGATTATGTTCGTTCTCCAAAAGGGTTGACAAATCTCTTCACTAATGCTGGGCTGCTCAAGTACTGGTTTCCCGTGTCCAGCATGCCTAAGAATGGTGAGGATTGGCCCACTGTTACTGATATGGTAAAGAACAACCAGCGCCTCCTAGTGTTCACTTCGGTTGCTTCGAAGGAGGCAGATGAAGGGATCGCCTATCAATGGAGATATATGGTGGAGAATGAGTGTATGCCCGAAACTGATTCTGATTCTTTGTAACTAGAAATGATATACAGTTTAACTGCTTTTCTCTCATGGTTTTTCAACTTATCTATCACCAGAGCTTATGACTAAAAGTTTCAGATAGAATCCTTTCTCCCATCCTGTCATCTCCAAACAATTCTCTTACTTGATTTTTTAAGTTGACTTATCTAATCTTCCTGTTCGTGTGGTTTTTAGTTATTTAAGCTTTGATTCTATGGCTTTCACTTGCAGCTGGAGATGGAGGAATCACACCTGCATCTTGTGCAAATAGGAAAGAATCACATAATCTGAATTCAAGAACTGAAACACTATTCGTGCAGAACTACTTCCCGACAATTCCAAACCAGAGTGAAGCCTGCAAAGAACATTCGACTAGCCTTATTGACATGGTTAATGCCTGTTACCGGGCAGCCGGGAATAGAATGCCCAACTTTCTTGCAGTGAACTTTTACATGGTACTGCTCTCTGTGATGAATCAAAGCATGCTTTGCAGAGCTTGCCAATTAATACATTTTTCTTTTTTCTTTTGCAGAGGAGTGATGGTGGGGGTGTATTTGATACCATAGACAGAATGAACGGCAGAAGTTTATGTGGGTGCACCACAGTCACTGCCTGCCAGGTTACTAACAGCTTTCCCATTCTATTTGTCTCACTGGTCTTTAGGAATGTTCGGTAGCCCTATCAACTTGGTTGTAATACGAAATTGGATCTGCAATTTATAATGTGATATGCCCCATAGTACATTTTACTAAGTTCTCCTGATCAATGAAAAGAATATTTCCCTATGTTTTGTAGGCTGGTGCTCCACAAGGAACTTGCAAGGACACTCATGCACCTGTTAGAACTCCTGCAGATAGTGGGGGAGGCTCCGTAATCATGGGATCCTTTAATTTTTCGGCCTCTACTCCCTCTGCATCTAGTCATTCTAATCGCTTGCATTTTGGCGTGTTCGTTCTTTCTTTCTTAGCAGGGGTATCATTGTAATCTTCCACTTGCAGCTATTTATTGATGATTAACCACGTAGGTTTTTTCTCCTCTGGCTTCAAGATTGCCTCCATATATTGTTCTCTTTGGTGATCTAAGAGGAACTAACAGAGGGAGGAAGGAAATTGCGAGAGTTGAAGAGTTTGTGATAGTGGGGCCTGATCCTGTGAGAAGTATTGCCATAACCATGATTTAATTGTTAACCATGGTGCCCATTGCCAACTTCCGGCTTGTCCCTAAACGATAAGAGAATTCGAGTATGGTTCTTTTCGGCTATTGATTGAATTAAAAAATTGTGATAATTTGTAATTTGAATTGTGGTCGATTGACAATTATGACCTGCAAATTGTCGTTCATAGATAATGTTTCATGTTTCTAGGAATGCTTTGAGCAGGAAAATCGGCTGTTAGTTTGGAGGACTCTTTTAGCCTTGTATTCATTTCTATCTGAGCTGCCTGAGCAGTTTTTTAGCTGTTTTTCTTTCTGATAATCAAATCAATAGGAAACCTAATCAAAGCAAAAGGAAATCCAATTATCTTTAGATATCTTCTCATTTCCTTCCGTTTCTTTCAAAACTACACCTTTTTTCTTCTCTTTTGTTGGAAAATAGTGAAAACCCAACAATCTGTTGAACTTGTGCCATGAAACAATTTAAAAAAAAAAAAGGTTGGGAGGCAAGAGGAGTAAAAAGTAGGGAAAAAACATATAAAATTATTGTACTGCCTAATCAGCACTCTCACCAGCAATGTTTTTTAAATCCTGATATTTCCCCCCCCCCCCTTCTTTCTTGCCCTCTTGGGGGGTGGGGGGGGAAGGGGGAATTGCCCGATATTTTTCTTTTTATTATTATTCTTTTTCCAATTTTTCACTGATTTAGACTATCTGGATCGGTACAATGGGTTGGCAAACCAAAACCGTGGGTTTTAGAACAGCGTTCTTCAGTATGTTTATCAGTTTTAGGTCATAAATTCAACTTGTCTCATGAATCTCTCTCTTATTCTGCCAAACTACATTTGTTTTCAGTATTTCTCCTGTTTCCTCACTTGAAACCCTGCTAGGCATTGTATTTTATTTATCTGACGACTCTTTGTTTTATGAGGAAATGATTTTTCTGGTAACTTCTGCAACATAAAATTGATACAAGTATTCAATATGTAAGGCGCACAAAATAGAAACGAGAACAAACATGCATGGACCTGGGGTGTAGACATATGCCAGGTTCACAGACAGAAGCATTTTATAAATTTCATGACCTGAAAACAAATATCCAAGGAACAAGAATAGTGTAGTAATGTGTCTGACAATCCAACTCTACACATAACAATATCATTACTCTCTGAACCGAAAGCTTTAGCAATAAGTTACCCCATGTAGTTTACATTGATGATTCCGTGAAACAAACTTAACAACGAGCTTGTCACCTGTAAAAACTGAGATCTGTATACTGTACATATGTTACCTGAATTCGACTTTTCAGCAGAGGGTTGGTTAAAGTGCTTGGGTGGCTGCACTTGCCCAAGTATATAGTCATGCATCTTGTATTCTTGCAAGCTGGAATTAAAGTAATTAGAAGGAGCTAATCCATTTGATGTTCATACTAAATATATGAATTTTTAGTGCTTTCATGATATAAGATGATATACTTTTACAAGCTGATATAAGATGATATACTTTTGCAAGCTGGAATTTCCCATTCTTGAGTGCTTTCATTGTTCTTGGAATATAATTTCTTGTAGAAACTAAAGTGCCTGTCTATTTAATGAGGGTACACCAAATAAAGTCAAAGCATAAAGGGAAAAACATGTGTGTGGGTACGGATGATGTGTTTGAAAGATGAAATGTGTGCTCCTTCCTAGTTGATTGCATGATTGGTAACAGAAATGGCATGATGGCCTTTTTTTAGGGTTTCAATTTAAGTGGCAAAATGGCCCTGTGGTCTCACTACCCCATCATGGCAATCCCTGCCCATTTATGCTGCGGTGATGACCCTCATTTCTTTGGTTTCAATGAAGGGAAAAGTTTATATAAGGTTGCAACTTTAAAATATACAATTACACATGCACCTAAAAAATTCATCGTAAAATGTTGTTTTAATGTTGAAAAACCCTCAAATCATCATCTTGACTTTGAAATGTATGAATATAAAAAAAAAATATAGATTTTGAGTCCCAAAAATAGTGCATTATACAATATATTATCTAAACCATCCATTTTCAAGATTCTATTTGACTTTAACCATTTACAGAGTTTAAAATTTTATAATTAGATATAAAAAGAGATTTTCAGATAAGGGTGCAGTTTGGATAGAGTCTAGGCTCTTAACAATCAAATTAGAGCCTATCTTCAAATAGTGTCGAGAAATGTGGTTTCAATATTGGAAATCTTTGTGATAGTCTTAAAATATAGTTTCATATTTATTTATAAAGTTTAAAGCTTCAAAAATAGTGTGGATCGACATATCTATGAAAGCTTGAAAATCTTGAAAATTGACGGTCCAAAAATGCGTTATAAAATACACTATTTCCAAAACTTGCAATCCATTTTTTTCTCATGTCCATGCATATTGATGTCGAGATAATAAATTTGAAGATATTTGGGCATCAAAACAACCTCTTCTAGTAAAATTTTTGAGGTAGGCTCAAATTTGATTGTTTATAACCTCGGCTCTATATAAGCTTTTCCTTTCAGATAATCTTAAGAATTTTTTACACCAAAAGTATATGTTATGATAAAATTTAGAGATGCACCTTAATTGGATTGTTTAAGGTTGTAACTTTATAGAAACCACACCCACATCCTTCTGTATTCCCTGTGGACAATTAAGAAAGTATTAATGTCGAGGTTTTGAGAACCATTTTTCAAATCCACGTATCGAAAACCAAAATAAAAAGAATGATGAAGAAGAAAAATTGGTCCAAATTTTTAAAAAGGGAAAAAGTCAGAAAGTATCACATGAAAGATATTACAAAAAAAATAATCCATTAACATTATTTAACAGTCCATCTGGTAAAAAACAGTCGATCCGATTGATCAATCAGATATTGATTTGTCCGAATTAGTTTTTGCATTGGACGGTGATAGTTAAAAGGGACACTCCAACCAGTTGGTCCGACAAGACAGATGGTAAATACCATTTTGCATCAGTTTTCTTAGGCATTGGCTAGTAACAGTACTTTGCGTCATTATACCATTTTGCATCAGTTTTCTTAGGCATTAGCTAGTAACAGTACTTTGCGTCATTTTTCGTAGATATGAAGTCTATGGAGGGCATAAACCTGAAAACAGTGCACCTCTATACAATGCCAGAAAATATGGTTCTGGTGCTGGAAACCCCAAGATTATATGAAAATCTACTTCTGAACCAGAAGAACTATAGATATCTGAAAATCTCGGAAATGGACAATCTAGATAATGGGTAACAATGCCAGGAGTCAAAATCTTTTTTTCTTACTATCAATATAATCTCGGGATCTAGATGATCAACCAGAGGGTTTCCATGTGGGAACAATTTTTTCTAATGATTTTTAATATGGGCAAGCTTTCTATGCTTCCCCTAAAGCAAAAAACTTATATACTTTCCCTAATCCAACCGTCCATATTGAATGGAGGGCAAAGATTGCCCCAATCACAATGTCACATCTGTACACTATTTTATTTTTAATTTTTTTCTATAAACTTTTTTGACACCAAGTTTTGGACGTCCAATCCTCTATTAAATTCGCACGTCTCAATACTATTTTATTTTAAATTTTTTTTCTATAAACTATTTTGATACCAAGTTTTGGACGTCCAATCCTCTATTAAACTCGCACTAGCGAAAAATATAAAAAACATATTTTTAATAAAATAAAATGACCAAAATATCCCTAAAAGTTTCAAGGGGTATTTTAGTCATTATATTTTATCAAAAATTTATTATTAATGTATTTTATAGGTGCGTCCCTATGAGAAGATGCCTCATAACAAATTTCATATTCATATAATTTGTATAAAAAAAAACTAAAAATAAAATACTTTGAGATGTCGATCAAACGGTGAGTGGCTCTCTTGATCAAAATTGGACGGCTGGATGGTAGGGGAAGCATATATCGTCCATGCTGTAGGGGAAGTATAGAAACCTTTTCCTTTTAATATATGTCTTCTTTTTTGTAATAAAAAATTGACACCTTGTATAAACTTTTTACTTCTTTGAAAAAAAAAATATTTTTGATCATTTTAATACCTCACCAAGTGAGGTTTGTTTTTACATTCATACCTCACCAAGTGAGGTTTCTTTGAGGTTTGACAACATTAATACCTCACCAAGTGAGGTTTCTTTTTACATGTTAACTATTGGCATCCGTTTGACTACAGCCGGGGGTTAAAAAAAATTTATTTTTATGACACTTTCTAACATCAAACTGCATAACCAAACACTAGTTATACCAAACCATTAATTAAAAAGAAAATATGTGAGTCTTTTTTATAAACATAATAACTACATTAAATAAGGTAGAGAAATTATCATAAATGACAAATATACTTTAATTTTTATCTAATTAGAAGAAAAAAAAAATCCTCAACTTTCATTAACCTCACCCACATCTTTTTTCTTTAATTTTGAACGTTTTTTTTACCAAAATAATATTCATGGAATACTATTACGGTACTTTAAGTACCGTAAAAACTACCCTATATTATATATTATATGGTATTTTATATCCCTCAAGGAGTTGAAGTAATAGTATGTTGGTATTTATCTCTCATTTTACCCTATAAATTTTACCTGAAACTCTTTTTTCTTTACGATTATATTTATATTTATCTCTCATTTCTCTCTCTAAGTCTTTTTAATCTCTCTATAAATATTTCTCTCTCCGGCTATTTAGAGAGAGAAAGAAGAGATAAATATTAAAAAGAATTACAGAGAAGAAAAAGAGATAAATATAAAAAAAAATTAACAAGATAAAGAAGAGATAAATACAAACAGAAACGTAAATGAGAAAATGGTTTCGGGTAGGGTTTATAGGGTGTCATACTATTACCGCATTTTGAGTGCCGTAATAATACTTAAACTCCTTACTGCAATTAAAATGTTGTATAACATATGTGAGTTTGGGTATTTAAAGTACCATAATGGTGTTTCACGGTCATACGACTATCGTGAAGGTTTTTTTGGTAAAAAACATTCAAAATGTTTTTTTTAAAAAAATGGTGTGGATGAGGTTTATAAAAATTAAAGTTTTTTTTTTTTAAATAGACTAAAATTAAAACATATTTGTGATAATTTATCAATAAAGTATGGAAAAAGTTTATATAAGGATGCCCCTCAAAAATCCATCGGAAAATATAGTTTTAATGTTGAAAAACCCTTTGATTGATCATCTCGATATCGAGATGTATGACTATGAAAAATAAAAAGATTTTAAGTCTCAAAAACAGTGCATTTTACAACATATTATCTACACCGTCTATTTTCAAGATTTTCATA